TATGTAGAGTAGATGAAATGTGGCTAATAGTTGAATCCAAGAAGTGTGTTTCATTCTGTTTGATGAATCCCGAAATGGGACGAAACGCGCGTCCTAGATTTCATTATTAGTCGATTACACATATTCTATACAAACCTGTATCTTCGTGGCTATCAGTACATAATGCACATATGCCGACCAAGACTGATCGAATTTCAGTCAACTTATCAATAACAGGTTAATCCAAACGATTGCAGTTGCAGTAAATTATATAATGCTTTATCACAGTTTTCATAATAATCCATTATTAATCCTACTGATTTTCTTGAATTCATAGAATAGTTAGACATATAATTGTAATCTTTTAACTTGCTTCTTAAACTTCTCTATTTTTCATTCTTGTCACATTAAACCAGGTACTTCTTTTTGTCTTAGCTAGTTCATATGTAATAAAGCCCAGTTGCTAAGGGATTATGAAATGTTATGGGTAGTGGCACCTGAAAGAAACCCAAAAACAATTAAAATGAATTTGTCTCTTTCTATAAATAAAATCTTCATTCCGATTGCTTTTAAGTTGGACATTCAAACTGTCAATTTCTATTCGGAGTCAAATCGCTTTGGTTCAATTACTAATAAAGCTTTGAATATAGGGCACAGTTGCGTAATTGCAAACCTTTTTACGTTTATATTGTTGATAAAGACCTACTAAAAAAATGACATCGTTTGTCACATATCGATCGACATTCTCACTGCTATAACTCAATCTAGTCCCTGATTCAAATCTCACCGTTGGACTCTACTCGCTTTCAATATCTTTTACATTGTTAATAACCATGTCAAGAAGTTCATTATTGTATCGTTGTAAGTGGTCAATCACAAGCTAGAATTAAACAGTCAAGTGTTTAATATTTACTGATTTTCAGTAGTTCTTTAGCATTTAATATTTTATTATAAATTTTAACCTTGAACGATAGTTATCAGTGTCACGATAAATAATCAACTGTTATTACTTTCATAACTGTAATCTAATGATAAAAAAAATTTATTTTATCATACTGTCAATCTGATACAAAGTTTTTACTATCTTGGAACTTCATATATTCCCATTGATCAAAACATAAAATTGAATAATTTTGTATCAACCACCATATTTTAATTTTATTATCATAAGTAATAACAGGAGTGATTACATAATATGTTAAGTAGGTTAAACATGAACGATTCAAAACGACAAATTGATTACCCTCATGAAATGGATTTATCCAGAAAGAAACGTAGAATATTAGTTGATTGTTATGTTACGAGATTAGAATATAAGTTTATGATATGGATTTACTACTTTAATCAGCCCCTCCCCCCCATATCTGTTTTTGAAAGCATGACCAAATAAACTTAAGTTAACTATAGTAATTTAAAGATTTAATCATACTTCACCTAGCATTTTTCGTCAACTATATAAACAGACTCATTTTACCATATCAAACAAATATATTCATTAGTACAAGAGGCTTGTGGAGACCTGAATTTTATAGTTTACATCACGAACCAAATTTAGGTAGGTAGCCAATATATGCTCACTAGCAGCTAGTTTCTAGAGGCCATTCCTGGAATTCCAGTGCTAAGCCATACCCAATGGAGTTCAAACAAGTCAGATGTGAGCCCGACTTGATTGAACTCAAGCAGATACACATTAACGGCTCTGAAAGTTGGTTACGAATTATAGCGAATCGTTTAGAGTTTTAAAAAAAGCAAATTACTTTATGCCAACTTATTAGTCCAAACGTTAAAGGTGGACCTTAAGACTGAAGTTTGTGGGTTGGATACCAGATGTGGTCATGGATGCGCACCGCTAAGGTCTCCCATATTAAGACGACAGTTGTCCAACGCTTTCTGTTTTTTAATGGCTGTCTGATTAATTAGGATTAGTTTGTGATGCAAACATGAGAAAAAAGCATTTTCACTAAGAAATAAGTAGACTAAACGAATTATTTTTTGTAATAAGGTATTTATTTTTAGCTCTATGAAAAGGATGAATAACAACTGGAAACAGCTGGAAAGGATTGCCCAAGACAGGGTTGGATAGAGAATGCTGTTGAGCGGCCTATGCTCCTTCACGAGGAGTAACATGCGTAAGTAAAGTAAGTCTACAACAATCTATATATTTTACAGTCAATAGCCACAAAGCGATACCACCAAGTGGTGATGAGTTAGTTGGTTAGTTAAAATTAGAAAAATAATGATATCAAAACATTAAAATTCTGTTTACTCATAGTTATTAAAATAACAATTTCTCTTATTAGCCAATTTGAAATTGTTATAAATGTCCATTTTTTTTAGAAACGCTACATTCGTTATCATGGTGTGTTCTCCACGCAAATTAACATAAAGCCAATGTTGCAAACCTTGTTGTTAATAAAATTCTATACATTACAGAACTGATTGCTGTTATTATTAAACTAAGTAGCAATTCAAATAGTTGTAATCATTGTCAGGTATCTGTGAGTAATAGATAAAACATCTTTAATTTATATATATATATATATATATATATATATATATATATATATATATATATATATATATATATATATATATATATATATATATCAATTACTGTTAACCGATATAAAACAATTTCTTTGAACGTCTTCTCTTTTTGCCTATTGTTTGTTGATGGGTATTTTTTTTGAAAAGTGAAATGTCATTTGATACACACTAGTCCATAAATTTATTGTCCATTTGTTCTACTTCCTGTTAAGTACTGTCCACTTTAAGTCAATATTTGGTTTCTCTGGAACTCAAAGAGACTAGTGAAATCATTTTTTCGAGTTCTATTGAGGGAACATAACAGGGGGGTTAGTAACAAAAAAGATTTTTTTAACAGGTTAGTAATCATACGTGAGAATTAAATTTTCTCAACAGCCTTCTTTTGTGAAAAGCTGCACATTCGTAGATCTATGATATTAATTGATATTATTATCAGAAGGGGTTTTGCGGAGTTCGTAGTAATTTCAACAGTTGAGATCATGAGTTAAATGAAGCTAGATTACCATGGAAAACCTCGGAGTACTGGACGACCGTTTCGTCCTACTGTGAGACTACTCAGCAGTGCGCATCTACGATCTCGCCTCATGAGATTCGAACCCAGGACCTATCAGTCTCACGTGCGAGCGCTTGACCACTAGACCACGGAACCGGCATCCAACGGTGTTAATGTCTAACTTTAACTAATCCACGAAATTGAACGACATATCCACCACTGTTATCAATGAGTTACTATCTCAAAACAGATCTGGTTGAACTCCACTGGTCACTTCTTCTCACTAGAACTTTATTACAGTCCATTCAAACCTACCTTTTACAAACATCGATAAAACATTAAACGCTGATTGAGAAGTTTGGAAATTATTTATGACATATAAAATCAGCATTCGCCAAAACACACGACCTATTAAGTATTCAGTTATCCAGCTTCGTATTAACAAGGTTTATATTAGATATCACTTGTTCAATACTACAGGTTGTGATTGATAAATCTTCTGATTGAATGCTTGAATCGGTTTCCTAAGCTCTTGTAATAACCCCAGGCTATCTCTACACGACAACTTGAACATGAGAGAAAAGGCGAGTAGTAAGGAAAGAACTCTTTACTCCAAGATTAGTTTATGTTCAGAAAATTGAGAGTATTTGTAACATTTCAGGCAACCTTAAGCTTACGGAAACTTATGTAACCCTACCAAACATAGTAGCAGAACGGGCAGTTACCCAATCAGAAATATAACACGTGACTGCACTTTCTAGATGTTTTTGAGAAACTTCTATTCAATGCTGATTGTTTAAAATGTTTCTCAGCGTTTTCGGGGCCTATTAAGGCCTTTTTCAAGGAATTTTCTAGGTCTCTCCAACAATGATCTCATATGCAAAAATGTTGTAGTTTATAAACTCTTAAAATTGAGCTAAAGATTTAAGAATAACTCAACTGTTCGAAAAATAGAAATTTAACAATATACAAACAGTTTTTAATTTATTTATTCAGATTACAATATCTTGAATAGAGTAAATCATCCTTTTATAAACAAGCATACTCAAGTCTAGATGAATATTTCTAACATACTCGTAGTGAGACCTATTTTTCAACGGATGAAAGTTATCACAGCTTTTCTTTCCAATGAATAATTCACTTCACTAATCAACTAAATAAGAATCAACCTAATGAATCTTTAAATATTAATAGTATTTAAACTTAAAATAGTTAGTCCCTTTGATAAATTTCGACAATGCAATGACATGACGATAAACTTCGTCTTCTCATTGCATTATCGAGTATTGAAACTATTGTAGATTTGCCATTCGAAAGTCATTCCATTATTTGGTTAACTTTAATTATGAAATATTATGAAAATGATTGATAGAATTTCATATTATAACTCTAAACTAAGTAAACTGGTTTATTTTGTTTATGTTCCAGTCAGTCAGTGGAAACTTTGTCTATTAATATTTAAGAACATGATATAAGTAAATATCATGTCATAATAATTTTTTTCTGGTTAGCGTTTTTTTAGTGAGTTAGTTTTCTACGGGATGGGGTCACTAACCCCATGCTCAACCCTCCTCCTTTATCCGAGCTTACGACCGGCAGTAGCTCCCAGAGGGACTCCAGGCGAAGAACACATTACGCCGGGAAATAGAGATAGACATGAGAAAAATGAACAAGAATTGGATGGAACTAGAAAAGAAGGCCCAGGGTAGAGTGGGTTGGAGAATGTTGGTCGGCGGCCTATACTCCATTGGGAGTAACAGGCGTAAGTAAGTAAAGTAAGTATCTCATAATAACAGATTACTTCATTATTAATCATAATTATAATTAATGATATAAAGTAATAACTCAATGATAAAATTAAAAGAAACAATTACAAAGAATGAAAACAATCATTCATGTTAATATTGATCTTTTTCAATTGAAGAAATGAAATAAAATGATTTGTTTAAGTTAATCATTATATAATTGAAATGTATTAATGATCATCATGGATCATATTATGTTATTTATGATGACTTCAACTATTATTAACAATATCACTAATATTTCTCCAATTCGATATTACTTTATATTAAAAAAAACCTTTTTTTTTCATAATTACTAATCGTAATAACAAGTTGTAATATTCATTACTCAATATGAATCATAATAATGACCATTTAAATGATGATAATGACAATAATATGAATAAGATCTTAGATCAGGATCTGAATTTAAAATTGGTTCCTTTGAATCAGTTGAATAATGAATTGAATTACTAGTTTCTAATGGAGTAATAAAATTTATTTCTTCATTATTAAGTAATTGTAATTTTGTCTTGTTCATCGAATGTTCATGATTCATTGATTCATTTAACTGATTATTATCATTATTTTCATTATAATGAGTAGGTATATAAGGAATTGTTAAACTATATTCATTCATTTTATATTGTTCACAATCATATACAACATTTTCATATTCATACAATTTATTATTTAATAGATCATTATGAGATTTTAATAATTCTGTACAATTTGATGAACAATGTCCTAGAGATTGACTAACATTTGAAATTGATGTAGACTGATTAGTTGGTATGGTCAATGAAACATTATTTGAATAAGAATAATAATAATCTAAATGGTTCATTAATTGTTCATCGGTCAATTTATTTTGTAATAAATTTGACCTTATAACATTTTGTTGAATTTTTTTTGTATAATTAACATCATCATCATCATCATCAATTGGTGATGATGAAATGGATGATGACGATTTGTAAGAATGATCATATGGTAACTTATTTTCATTACTATCAAATACATGATGCTTCATTAATCTAGAAGGATCACTTTGTAAAGCAGCTGCAATCTGATTAGTCGTTATCTGTGACAAACCATGACATAAATATTTTATAATATCTGTTATCGATTCAAAGTGTATATCATTTAATATTGAAGCTAAAAGACCAATGTAATTACAAGCTAAACGAAGCGTTTCAATTTTACTTAATTTTTGACCAAATTGATGAAAATTGTTCACATTATTATTGTTGTTTATTTGATCTATTGGATTGCTGGTTTGATGATTTTTCGAGAATAATTTATTACTTTCATTTTGTTTTTGATTGGCATGAGTAGTACAGATAGTTGTGTCATCTTTCTTATCAAGATCAAAGGAAATATATCCACCGAATAAAGCAGATGGTATGTGTTGTCTTAAGGCATCTAATGCTGAATTTAATCCATGCATTCGGCTACGTTCACGTGCATTAGCTCTAGCTCGTCTCATTTTCATTCTAACAACACGTTCTTGTGAATCTGGCTTCTTTTTAGGACCACGACGTCTTATACCAGTTGGGACAACTAATGAGGGTTCAATAAAACATTGCGAACTAACATTGTCAGATGTAGCGCATTTCTGATGTTTTTTCGTTACATAAGAACGTTGAACATTCTTAGTTGAAATAAATGAATGATCCTGTTGCTTCAATTCTTCATGCATAAAGTTTGCTGAGTTTGAATGAAATGAATCTGTATGAATTTCATGGTTGTTTGGAAAAAAAGTTATTGGGTTTAAGTTATCATTTGTAACATTGAAGGAGGAATTTTTTGAATGTTCAGTAAACATAACTGTTTGGTCAAAACTAGACCAGTTATGTGAGTTCATCACTTTTTTTACTGTTGTGGTCTTGAAAAGAATAAAATTGAAAAAAACTGTCTGTAATATTAAGAATAACTGCTTAAGAGGAATAAGAATAATGCATTTAATTTTACAAGGTCATGATAAATTGCATGTAGTGTGCCCACTCGATGTGAAATTTAAAAGTGCTGGGTCCAGTCTAGTAGACCCATGTTCTCTGGTTCTCAATGGTCTTCCATTTCAAGTTTATTTAAGGTATAAACTAACAAGGTATAAACAAACAAGAAGGCTCATTACATTGCTATTTGAAGTATACACATTACGATAAATTGATCAAAGAAAGAATAAGATTTGGTCATTTTTGTTGGTGGAACCCAACTGTGGAATTTGTCGGCAACTTCAGACAACAACTTCATTATTAAATGCAAATTAAATTGAAATAACAGCAAAAAGAAAATAACACTATATAAGAAAAAAATAGTTTGATCCTAAGTCGTTGTGAAAATCATTTAACTGTAGAATGTTTTAACTTATATTGATATACTTCAATGTTGCTATTTGTCTATGAACATATTTTTTGTTCCTGAAAAATATGTTAAAATGTTGAGAAGTTCTAATGTAAAAAGCAGTTTAATATTGGTAATACCTAGATCATTTAAAATCAATAAATACAATATGGGCTTAATTTTAAAACTGATAATCATCTACAAAGTTAATGGTCACATCACTAGAGATTATGATCCGAAATTAATGTTTAGATATTAACTAAACAATGAACGTAATAAATAAGTTGCATTTCATAAGCTTTTATTCAATTGTAAAAATGTTCTAATGACATATCTTCTAAGTTTATATCAGTAAAATATTCATAACGAGAATTGTGACTATATCATTATAAAAACATACAGTTGAAGAGGATAATGTCATTGAAATTTATCTCGTTAACTCCAAATATTCCCCAACATTTTCAATATCTTAACTCAGAGAGGTAACATCATGTGTATCCATCAAATGCCCTGGTACGCTCGAGGGTGGGGAAAGTTAGCTTTCCCTCTTTGAATGATCTCACACGGCCAGGGAAGTCCTATTCACTGCCTTCTCACGGCATTGTTGTTGTTTACGAAGTTAAGAGGATGAAAAGCGAATATCCGGCGCTTTAACCAGGTTGGTGGATATGGAGGTTCCACCTAGGGGAGTTGGAAAACCCTGATTCCAAACCGATGGTGCACATGAGCTCCAGGATCCTGAAGGAACAAATGTTGGACCAATGTGAACCAATTATTAGTCACTGGCTACCATGGGAGTGCATCTTCTCACGTTATTCCACTGCCCTGTGTATAAGACCTTTAAGTCGAAGGATCAGGGCGTGGCTCCTAAGGAAACCACCTGGTTCGGTTTGGGCGCCCGGGCGTTATCACAGCCCACACAGAAATCAAGTGACTTGTGTGGCGCATATGTTTCCGGTGTCCCTTTGTACCAATATTCATGTGTTCAGATAAATAAATAAATAAAATAATAAGTTCCAGAAAACCTACAAAATTATTTTATTTTTTCCATTCTGTTTAACTTCTCGATTAGTTAAATTAAAAACATATAATCTTTTGACTATACTAATTTCTTATTTTCTAAATAACATCAATTGGTATGTAATAGGCTGAAATATTTGATTTACAGTCAAGAAATACTTCTTTGTATGATAGTAAAATAATATTTAAGAAAAGTGGATATCTAACTGATATCAAATCTACAATGATAAGAGGTCAGATCATTTTAACTAAATGGCAATTTTGACAGCTGGACTCATGAATTAATCTAAGCTAAACCACCATTGAAAACCTGAAAGCACTGAACGGCCATTTCATCCTAGTATGGGACTTCTCAGTAGTGTATATCCATGATCTCAAACGCGGAACTCGAGCCCATGACCTTTTGCTTCTCACGTGAACGCTTAACTTGTAGACCACTGAGCTGGCATCCAACAGCGTTAATGTCTAACTTCACTCGATTGATGATCTTGCGCAATCCCTTATCCAATGACTCACCAATTTAACTGTTAAAATTACTACAATTTTTTATAAATCCCCATTCTGATAAATGGTAATTCCAAATAATATTTTGAATTTCATACGCCATATCCTTTAAAGGATAAAATTATTGATGACATTTTATTTTGGAAAATCATTTATGTGGCTATAGAACGACATACAGAAATTTTTAATGAATAAGTCATAATCTGTCAAGAGACTATGAATTTATATTGGTTAGGGCCAGTAACACTAATTGTTTCCGTTAATGATCTAATATTTGAATCATTGTTTAACTGATTACGTAATCTGTCAATAAGTTGTAAAAAACAAACTTCAGTTTCATGAATAACCAGTCATGTTCTTTCATGATTTCAACAATATATTCTTTGTTTATGTTTACGAAATTATTGTCTTAGTAAAGGTTAAATAGTGTCAGCTTCAGATTGATCATTTTAAAATCAATAGATAAACAAAATTTACTATCGGTTGTTTATGATTTCATCATTTAGTTTTATTTCATTTAATATTTGTGTTTTATACTGTCCTACATATATAGTAGATAACAATAATGACGAGTAATAAGTGCCCGACCGTTGCCTATCGTGATGAACCGACAGGGATATACTGGCCGGAACAATCGTTCCTCAAGGTCCTACCATGCCAGAAAGTTCGATTGAAGAGCAGTAAGATTAAAAGCAACAAACCTAAGGTCCGAAGGCGAAGTCGTACTGCTGACTCTACAGAGGTATGACAGCAGTAAGGTGTTTCCTTCAGACAACCAACATGACAGCGATGCTGCCTTCCCACAAAGAAGGGAGGGGTTAGAAAAGATCGACACTGAGAATGCACACCTCTCCTTATCCCACGGATATCCGTCTCCGATTGTAAGGTCCCAACAAGTACGGATCTAACACGAAAGTTGCTCACAAGAAGGTCGTGTGTGACTGACCTCTAGCACTTGTGCCTTGGGTACTGAGGTCACGTTCTCAAGTCACTAAGACTACCCATAACTGAATTTCCTTTTTCAGGCACCTCTAGAAAAATTCTTTCACGATTTGGGCAACCGGGAAGTGATAACCTCCCTCATACTTTTAACAGCACTCAAGACTGACAAGTAATAAGTTCTGAATAACTTCTTTACTGAAATCAGTCAATAAAAACTTCACATTATATTTTAATTTGATTACTTTATTCAAAACATGTTTCAAGTTTATACTACTTTAAAACCGAATTAGGTCAGTCTCTTTTAACGTATGTATACTCTAAACAGATTTCTTGATACGGTTGTGTGATTATAAGTTTTAGCATATTTCTCGAATTGTAATTAATAATGCGATCCAAGATGTACGTACTATACGCGACCTTGAAAATAATATTATAACCATTGAATAATCATTTGACATTTCATTGTTGATGTTCATACTGAAACTCATACCTTTCAAACACCAATGTATTATCCACAAAGTTACTGAATACAGATACCCATGGATGTCACAACAAAAGCCAGTTGATTCAGTCGTGTATAACAAAATTTTGAAACATAATGGTTTAATAAATAAATCTATGAATAAATATGATTATCTTAATAGATAATAATTTTATGTTCGAATCTCTGGATAACTGAACATTAATGATAAAAATAGTATGACATTGGTTGAACTATTAGTAAGTAAGAATGAATCATATAAAGTTATACATAATTAAGTAACTGATGAAATTCAGTATTCTATATGATCTGAGCAATAGAGAGTGAATTTAGGAGATCGGAGACATAAAGATAGACAAATAGTCAGGGGTAAAATAACTTACTAAAATATAATTCTTTCAGTTCCTATACTTCTTAATACGACGTACAGAAATGGATAACAATAGTAAACGGGTACTAGTATGAAAATTGGAAAATACGCACATAGGTTGAGAATAATTATAAAAGAAAGTAAACAGAAGTTCAAGATTTGTAGCCCAATGTATATGAACCAGTAGTTATTGATAACCTAACTTCATGTCACATCTTTATCAATTCAATAATGATCATGTATTTATTTAATTCTTTTTAAGTTAACATGAAATTTCATGTAGCCGTTGAATATGTTTAACCTCATTAATTGCCCCCTATTATATGCAACAAATAAATCCAAACATGGTTTTCTCTCAAGATACTTTAATTGTAAACCATTAAAGTATACCAGTGTTACGTCCTAAGCAAGTGGAATGTTTGGGTATTATGTAAACCCGTTAGCAAGTTACATGTCAAAAATTCCTCTTACTACATGGTAGTATTTACTAAACAGTACAATCAATTGATTAGTCATATTAACATTAACAATTTTATGGTATTTTGTTTATCACAATCCTAAATTCACATGCTCTAAACGATGTACTTTACCCTTAATTTGGCCATTTTTCGGATTAATAATTTGGATATATAATTGTAGAACCTGAAGAGAATTTATCGAAAAGAATATTCTTCGTTCAAATATTAGTCTTTTAAAAACAATGTTGTTTTATGGCATTAAAAAATTACCATGATTCTTTAAAGTTCAAATCATTAACATTTGAATAAACTTCATAATCGTTATCTAGATATTTAGATTACTTAATAATAAGCATAGTGTTGATTTTTAACATTCAAGTTTCCCAATTATACTGAAAAAGGTAATGCCACGCACACAATGTCGATTCACCTAGACTAGTGGCCACATTGCAACTTAGTCGATAGGGTTCGATCTGCACTAAGAAGGACCTGAAATACATGACATTGATCACCACCTAACCAATTGTAAATACATCTCACTCCTACAGGAGTTCAGTCGCTGTCCGGATAGGTCAGCGTTAACATCTCTGACTATGAAGCTGGGTGACACGGGGTTGAATCAATCAGGGAGCATCAGTTCTCTTAAGATTACAGGTACTCCATACTGACGAGTGCCAAGTGGCACGAAACCTATGTCCAGGGTTTCCTATCGACTACCTCTAACCACCATCTTATTTAAGGTAAAGCCATTTTGATTTATGTCATAA